GTGGGAGAGGGGTCAGTCTGGGACTGGTCAGCGTGGGAGAGGGGTCAGTCTGGGACTGGTCAGTGTGGGAGAGGGGTCAGTCTATGACTGGTCAGTGTGGGAGAGGGGTCAGTCTATGACTGGTCAGCGTGGGAAAGGATAGGTTAACAGGTGGGACTTGTCAGCATGGGAGAGGGGTCAGTCTGGGATAGGTCAGTGTGGGAAAGGATAGGTTTACAGGTGGGACCTGTCAATGTGGGAGAGGGGTCAGTCTGGGACTGGTCTGTGTGGAAGGGTAAGTAAAGACAGGGGGAAGTTTGGGAGAGGAGAGTTACACAGGTAGATCTCAAGACAGGAGGGCCCGACACAGGCAGAACTGGGGTGGGTAAGTCCAGGAAAGCAGGCTTACACTCCAGCACGACACACGAGCGCACACTCCGGACAGGCCGCAGGCTTGGGCTGCAGGGAGCCGGCTGGCTTGGGGGCCGAGGTCCCGAGAGGGGTACAGTACCTGAGAGAGGACAGGGGCCACGGGCTCCAGCTAGCACACACAGCCACAGGGACAGCAGCAGCCAAGAAGCAATGAAGAGAGAGAAGGAGAGATGAGAAACAGAAATGCGTGAAAGAGGAAAAAAAGGGAAACAGGTACACAACACGTACTTGTGCAAATGGGAGGTGGGGATTTCGCACTTGCAGTGCATCTGTTGTAAAAGAAATCAATCTGACCCAAAACCTGAACCGTCTGTACAAGCTTGTAACAAACAGTGTGACACCCGCAACAAAAACCGTGCATTTTCCTTCACGGGCCGGGAGTGTAAGCACAAAGATTAAAAGCAGATGTGCTGAAAATAAAACGCAGAAAAGAGGCAAAGTTAACAAAAATCACTGTCATTAATTCTGCAATATGTTTGTCCTAATTATTTACAGTTAAAGGGGACATCTTTAAAACTGCTGATTCAGTACAAAGTACAGCCCAATTAAATATTGTACATGGAGGTAAAATGCATATTGCTGCATTTCTAGGAGAAATACAATTAGCAGGCAGCATCGTTTCCAGGTCTTCTTTCTGTAATGCAGGCCTGGTCTAGCAAACCTTTTGTGGGGTGCAACACCTCCTACAGGATACTATCGCAAATGCAGCTGAGTGAGCCTCTTTGTCACAGAGGTATTATTTCTTTGCTGACAGCCCTGCAATGAGGTAGGTAACTGCAAAGGGCAAAGCACTCAGTTGTGAGTGACTCCCAGAGAAACACATTTGAACGCTGATTGGATTTCTCATCACCTTGAGCTCTGCATGCCCAGGAACAAGAAATAAAAGGCTGGAACAGAGGATAAAAAGACTAACTGAACAGACTGAAACGGAATTTCGGTGTGTGCCCTTATGAAGGTTTACCTTGGAAGTTTACCACGGCATATTCTACCCTCTCTACATCTACAATAACATACCCTGCTTTCAATATTCTTTCCTACGGTTTTATCATCCTGGATTTGCATTTGCCAGATTAAAATGGTACATCGATTTAGCACTGTAAAACACATGCCTAGGAATAGTCCTGCAGTGTTCAGATGTTACTAACAGACAATGGAACCATTGTAAAACTAAGTAAAAATGGAACCAAGGCAGTATTGTAAAATGCAGTGCAAAGCCATTTTAAAAGTTCACGTTTGTCATGGTAAACCTTTATAGAGGTGTGCACCGGGGAAGGAGAAACTGAAGGTTAGTCATGCCTCACACTATACAGTAACACTGCATTGCAGAGATGGTCATTGGCGTCAGTGGAGTTCAAAAGATACAACATTCCTGTTTGTCAGATACATGAGTGAGAACAGTCAGGGAAGAAAAAACAGAATGAGGTTAATGAGTTACGAATGAGGAAGCAGGAAAGGATTAATATCTGAGTGAGTGTCCCAGCAGTGAGAGAGAGCGGAGACAGGGAGAGGATCAGTGTTAATCGCAGGGGCGCCACGGACGCCATGCTGACATCTGTACAACTCTGAGCAGCAGAGCTCTACACCCCACCTGGAGAGAAACAGCGAGAAGCCCCCCAACACACACACACACACTGCTCCTTTGTACCAACTACTGCAGTGTGCAGATCAGGAACTACTGTGTGCCCTCTCATTCAACAGCAGACACCTCAGTAGTGAGGCAGTGCAACTCCCAGAGCATCTGGAAAACACTCCTGCTGCATCACAAAAAAAAGTGGTGTGGGAGGTTCTAGTATGTTTATATCTTTACTGAAATCTCAAGAATCTTTTATCCTTGGAGGTTACAACACATGGGGCACGCCGATGTCACACTGAAGTGGTTAGTGGAGGAACCGTGCGACTTCAGAGCCAGCAGGAGTGTGGCAGGGACAGGCAGAGAGGAGGAAAGAGAGAGAAGGGCATTACAGACGAGGTGAAGATCCTCTCCAGCCGCTTCTGAGCCTCTTCAGCAGGAGTCAGCGGGGTGGCCTAGAGGGGGTCAGATCATCAAGACACTGAGTACTCACAACTCTACAGTCGCACAGCTCTGTCTGTTACGTGCCTGCTTCTGGCCCAGTCTGGGCACTAGGCTGCTCGCTCACAACCAGACTGAACAGTCTCTCTGGCTCTGAACACTAGCTAATTATGTAAAGGTCCATTCCGCGCTGAAAGATAAAAAAAAGCACAAAAACACAATGTTTCAGGTGTGGAAACTGCTGCAAGTGACATCTGAAAAGGGCTCCACAGCCAAAACATTGTGTTTCTCTTCTTTTCTTTATCTTTGTGCACGGAGTGAACTCTTACCTGCTTCTTTGCAGCCTGCGCATGCTGATGCAGCTCCCTGCTCAAGTAGAAAATATGTACTCATTCACGCACTGTGTGGTCAGAGGTGCAACATCTGCAGAATGTATGCCGTTGGAAAGAAACTGCTACACTCACCCCTGGGCCAGAAATCAGATGGTTGACAAGCATCTATTTTTTTAAATCTAAAAAAAATGTACTTTCCCATCGCTTCCTGTCAGCTACCCTTTTCGCCACACGCACCTGCTCTGCCACGGGAGGGCGGCGCTGACCCAGCGAGTCCGAAAAGGATGTTTTCCCAGCTGGGGCCGCAGGTACCCGAGACACCGCCTTCTCCTTTAAACCGGCCACAGACCACAGGATGGACACAGAGACACAGCAGAGAGCTCTCTCAGGACTCAAGCACTTCACTACTGACAGACACCCCCCACCGCAGTGCAGAGACGTTCCCAAAGCAGGGCTTTGTCTCCCTGAATCGTGTTGCAAATGACCCCTCAATTACTTGATTTACCAAGTCACTTGCTTCACTGTAAATCTGGAATTGCTCCAAGTACACAAAGTTAGTCCCAGTACAGCCCCTTCAAGCAGTAGAAAGCTGTACCTTAATTAAATCACCACCATGAACAATTAGTCTCCTCCAGAACACATGTATTGTTAACATGTCCATGCCCAGGGTTAAATTAAACCACAACACAACAGAAAAACACAGCCATCAGACTTCCCTCATACTACAGCAAAACCCCTCTCTTCTTCAAATAAACCGGACCCTTAAGTCCTATTTAAAGCAGGGGTTTAGCATGCTGTACATTCCTGATTAGAGAGAAAAACAGTTTACACAGTCTGCTTTGCCTGCCATTCTCCCTGCTTTGTGCACCATGATCAGAGCCACACTGACAGAAACTGAGCTCTTTTCATTATTCATTCAAGACGTATTATAGATGTTGTTATTGGCTTCAGTGAGCTCCTGGGGACTCTGGAGTACAGCCCTGTTTGAGAATGACAGTGCTTTTATATTGCACTTTGTTTCACCACAATAAGCAAAGCTTTACTGCCCACAATGCAGCAGGCCTGGATTGACGGGACCAGGCCTTACAGAACTAAAAATAAAAAACAGTGGCATGAGGGGGAATGGGCACAGAATCCCACTACATTAAGACCGGGAACAGTACAGTACGTGAAAGGACTTCATCCCCCCTAGCGCAACCCCAGCTGTCATAACGCAGCAAAGGAATTTACTTCTGAGCAGCAAGCACGCCGCGGGAGATGGGGGAGTGTGCAACAATGCTCCACGTGTTTTGAAACTAAAGAAATACATAAATATGATCATTATAATACAGAGATTTTCCACAGCCCAATTACTTTCAGGAAGTCGCATTTATCAGGGAAATACTTGAAAATATAAACAGATGGATCTGCAGTTTATATACTTGCAAGAACTGAACACGAATCAACACCACGTGACCGCTTGAGCACACCGACTGCCGACCTAGTGACACCACTCTGCATACACAACTACGAAGGGTTAGAGACAATAACAAGCCATGCGACACCCTAAAGAAGGATAAAGGTGAAGCTGAAAATGCTGCACGAAATCTAACCCATGCTTTACTAAGGTGATCATTGGTTGAATCCAAACGCCAAGCTGTGACTGTGAATTCCACCCCATGCACACGGCAGTGTCCACCACACTCTGTACCTCCGGTGTCTGCGGCGCTGGCTGGGGCACAGGAGGGGGGGAGGCGGAGGCGGAGGCGGGGGGAGGAGGGGAGGTGCCGGGCGGGGGGGAGGCAGGACTGTCTTTGTCTGACGAGGGAACTGAGGTCCGGTCTTCGACTTCCTCAACTGGGGCCTTGGCCTTCTCCTCCTCGGGATTCCGCACGTCCCCCTCCTCCTCCTCCTCCTCCTTCTCCGGGGGCTCCTCTTTGCGCTCGGGGGCGCGGAAACGGGGTCGGTGTTCCTTGGTCCTGGCCCGGCCCATCAGGCTGGCGAGACCGGCGGAGAGGTCGTCCTTCGGCGGCTCCTTCTTGATGGTGTCGTGTTTGAAGGTGAAGAACGGGGGGGCCTTACCGGGTCCGCCCGCGCCGCTCTGGGGGGTCCGCGGGGTCTCCGGAGCCGGGGCTGGCTTGCCGGATGGACTCGCTGGACCGCTCCCCGTCTGCGGGGCTGGGGGAGACTCTTTCTGTGCCCCCTCCTCCTCCCCGGGCACCACCCTCCTCACCACCCGCTTCATCACCTTCACCACCTTCTTCCGGATCGGCCCCTTGTCCTCGGCCAGGTCCTGCCGGCTGCCGGACAGGGGGCCGTTGAGCGACCCATTGGCTTTGCTGTCTCCATTGACCACGCGTTCCGGGCTCTTTGGGGAGGGGGCCAGCTCCGGGCTTTTGAATCGTTCGGGGATCTTGGGGGGTTCGGGGCTTCTGAATGGGGAGTTCCTTGGGGGTTCAGGGCTTTTCAAAGACACTCTGGTCACGAGAGGCTCGGGGCTTCTCACAGGCTCCCTCTGGGGTGCCTGTTCCGGCAACTCGGGTCGGAACGGACCTTTTTTCGGTTCTGGGCTCTTGGCGGCTCTCGTTCGGTCACTCATAGCACTGGCGGTGTCGTCGGACTGCACGCAGGGGACGCACCATTACCACCGCAACAGAGAAAAGACAGTCAACACCAGGAAACGGTCCCAACAGCCATGGCCAAAACAAGACTTGAGACGAGAAAGAGGAGCTTAGTCACGTATTTTGGGGGTTTTAAAATTCTGTCCTGCCACAGTCGTCCCTCAATTAAGGAAACTGACTGCAAAATGACAGGCTGATGCTCACATCTCTCAGGAGGATTCTCTGTTAATGCGTTGAGCAGAAATACAAAATAAAATTGAATAAAATCAGATAAAATGGCATATTCTCCCCTGAGATGCAGGAATGGCACCACCATTGCTACAAGCCAGTAAACATCGCCTGCAAAATTTGAGAGCTCCTCTTCACTGTACTGTAACATACCAAGATTATCTTTAACAAGCACAATTACTGAGGAAATTCCTGTTTCTCTACAGCTACACTGATCCATGCATTATTAACCAGTAAGACATAATTACCATAATTACTTCTGCAGTCAGTCGGAGTACGGGTGTGAATCACAGGAAATACTACAGAAAGGTTAGTGTCTGAGCGCTCAATAAAGAGGTTCCTGTCTGGTACAGCAAGCTAAGTCTGGTTCACAGGTCACAGATTTCTAGAGACTTTGGCTTATCATCTTTTTGGGAACTTTTTCTCAAGTGAAATCCAAGACACTGCAGGCTCTGTGCTTTTTTTTTTTTACAAAAAGACTCTCACAGAGCTGATCAAGACGTTGTCAGTGGTCTGACTATCTCAAATAAGAGGAAGAAGTGGGATCAAAGATCAATTTCCCTTCTGAGTGTGTCTCTGCAGCTCTAATCTTCTGAAAAACTTCTTCCATGCTATATCAGCTCTGCCTTGAATTAAACTCTCAGGCGTTAAAGTTTTACAATTTCTCTAGGAGTTAAACTGCTTTATCCACTACCAGGAGAAGCATTGCAAATGCTTATCTGATCGTTTTTACATAAATGCAAATACCATTTCATTTATTGAATGTTGGATTGCATTAAATAAAATAGAAGGAAAACACACAAATCCCTTAGCACTTTCAGGACTCCACCGTAATCACTTCAATTAATAAGCTTATTGTGCTAGACCTCTCCAAATCACTTATCTATATGCATTTAACTGAGGTGAATCATTGTATCTGGTATTTAACACAAGGCATGATTCAATGCAAGCAATTTAAACTTAAAAAATTAAATGATTTTAATATAAAGCAACCTTTGCATGACCATGTATTTTTGTAATACAGCTCTGCACGCTGAAACAAGAGGTGCCTTGGGAAACAGAATACTGAACTGCCACCCAGCATCTTTACTGTACAGTAACACACTGCACTGCAGCAACATCCCGTTTCAACAATGTCATGCCACACGTGCAACGCACTTGCTGTCCTCACGAAGAGCTTGACCTTTAAAAAGTAACAGCAGCACGAATGCTGCTCTCTGTATGCTACCTGCTGGCTGATCCTCTTTTCCTGGCTGAAGTCAGCTCCGTCAATAGCACAGACAACCTTCGGAGCTGTAAGATGACTGCAAAGAACTGTGTTTAAGATCTTAAGGAACTCCAACCTCCAAGACTCAAGTTTGTGGTACAGAATAAAAAGAGACATGCTTCTCATTTAAAGATCTGGCCTTTCTTGCACTGCGACTGAGCTTAATATGACTGCTCCACAGAGGATCAGTGACCCTCTTTACCGGTGATGATGTTCCATTATACTGTTTCTCCTTTCCAACAGACCTCCATATCCTCCTCGATGTAGGAGTGCCTTCAGAGCTGCCTTCCTCACTCTGCCCTGGAAACTCCACTGTGCGCAGCTGGTGCAGGACAGAGAAGTCGTCTGCACTGCAGGGCCCTGATTCTCAGCTCTCAGCACTGCAGACCCACTGAAGAGCTGCTCTGAAACTGAGCATTAAAGACACACAACATCCTTTTTTGCCCAGGCATCCAAAAGGACTCTTTAGTGCTCTGAAACCTCCTTGGCCTTCTCAGTCTCTATACTGTGCAACGACAACTATAACTCTTCTTCCCCCTACCATACTTACAACATAGGAAATTACTAAACAAGTGCGTCTAACACACTCATGAAATACTAAGCACAGTACATTAGCAGCATATCAAATTGCACTCAATAGTAATGACTGCTCTCACACTCAAAGCACGCTACTGGAAAATGGGTGCATCTCTCAGTTTTGAGAGGTCATGCAACTAATCAGTTGTCTGACCTGGAATTCTGTGCCTTCCCATTAAGTGTTTCAGCAAATATTCCCTTTCCTCACTCTGCCAATTTCTTTCAGGGTCATCGCTATAGGTGAGGATGGCTACAACAGTGTTTACTGCATCTTGATTTTTTTTCATCAGCAATCTGTTACATATTATAAATTCCTGATTTAAAGCATTACTGAAAAGATTTGACCAAATAAATGAATAAACTTGTTGTCTCTATAATCTGTACCTTACATTACAGCACGGAAAACTAAGAAAGAGCTTCTCACCTGATAACCTTATCAAATTACAGAAACCTTTCAAAACAGAGAACCACAGTCTAACAGTGAGCATTAACACAGTTTTACCCATAATCCACATCCCAGGTCTCCCAAATCCCTCTTCTACAAAGGGACCTCAGTGCATATTTTTTTTAGTTACACAGAGATTAATAATAATTTATTCATTGAAACAAAAAGAGTGAGTCTCTGGAAACCTTTTCCAGCAGAATGTCAAACACTTGTATCAGATTAAGGGCAATTTGTCAGGGCTTAGTGTCTAGGTCCGCATCAAAGGAGAATATTGGAATGCAAAATCTGGAGGGCTGGTTTTATTGTTTGCTAGAGTTTCTGTTCACTGCATAAGTACCACATCGAATCTAAAAACAGGGATTTATCTGATCCCTGGCTTCCTTTACACTCCGATTGAAATATTTTAAAAACCCGCCATTCATAGTCTTCAGACTGTAGGTTGATTTGCACTCACAGACGAAGGAAATAAACTAATTCCTGCAATTACCACTGCACCATGTTCGCAGCAATTATAAGCAACAAACCACAAAATGCTTCCAGGTTTTTACAGCATAATTAACAAGTATAGCTATCTGTGATATTCCCATCAATTTTAAACAGAATAAAATGTAATTTAGTCCATTTTGCTTTTGTTAATTTCTATTGCCTAACTCAAGAATGTCGATAGCTAAGCAGGATACATAATTCACACGGCGTCTTTCAGGCTTTAAATTTCAACTGAAAACTGACAAAAGCTTGTGATGAAGTACTGCCAGCGCTATATATGTAAAAAGAGACACTTTTTTGCTTTCCAGCTTTATCCTAAGTGCTGTTGCAATGTTGCAGATGCAGGGTTCTTGGCCTTATTAGACAGAGCGAGCAATGTCAAAGACACGAAGCTACACTGTGCTCTCATGAAACCTGTGACCTGTTCTCCCAGACTCTGGAGGACATTAGTAAATTTGGGTTGCCACACACACACACTCCTGACACTTACGCTGTCTTTCGTATTCTTGGGAACGATCTTGTCCTCGTCCTTAACCTAAAGGTGCAGCATGAGCCAAGAAAAGTAGGTCAGCCCCAGAAAGCAAAGCCATACACAGTATGAACTATTCTTATATCACACCGAAGCTCTACCGAGAACGGCCCCTTACGGTCCTGTCTTGAAATCACCATGTCTATTTAAGAACAGGAAATTCTCTATATCTGCAATACTGGGTGTGATAGTGCAGATGGCTCCGCTCAGCCTTTCAGTTTCACTAAAGACTCTTTCACTAAAGCGTTCACCATGTATTTGGTGTGTTTCCCGATCACACTGCACACCTGTATCACTATTGACTGACGGACTCGGTTACCGACTCCATCTTGTTTTTAACTACAGCTTCCAAGCTGCTGTAACACAGCTCAACAAGTGAAGTGCAGCGAGGTGCGATGTGACATCATCGGACAAAGATAAGGTCATGAGTGAGCAGCAGCAGCAGCTAGGCCTGCCTGCAGTCTTTTCCAATAATAGCAGAAAACGAGAAAGAAAATAATTCCATATCGATTCGCGAGTAGGTCTTCAAGACGCTCTAAAATGCACTCCCTATTTTTGGGTCAGAAATTTCGATAGGTCTGCACGGACTTCCAGTATCTCCATTCTCCATTCTAGAACTCCATTCTAAATCCGTGATTTTAAATTCTGTTAAAATCATCTCCTCTCCTTGTAAACGTCTTTCCCTTCTTACTATAATGCACTGTAATGAGAAGCTACTTCTAACGGCGCTATATAAAATACATTTTATTATGATTAATAACATAAGCCAAAGTAATGCAGTGACTACATTACTAGTGAACAGGCAGGATATCTTAGCTCAGCTCGCGTTGGCTCTCGTGATGGTAGTGAAGTCACGGGACCGAGCGATGAGAAAAGCTCAGGCAGAAAGGAGGGCTGACGTTGCTGTAAGGATTGTACCCCAGGAAGGAAGCCTGCTCTGACTCACAGAGAGGGTTTAAGGTACTGACAGCATCTCCCTATTCTGCACAGTAGCATTTGCATCTTAGATAACAGCACCAGGAGCATGAGCAAGAATACACACTGCTACGTTCTTACTGTTTAAGCAATTGAATAGTACATTACAGTGGTAAAAAAAAAAAATCAGTTGACCACAGAATCACAAACAACAGCAAAACATGAAAACATTCCTAAAAGCTGTCACCTGGGCGTTATAAAAAACTCCTTATGAATAAGGAGATGACTGAACTCTACGGCTGAGCTCCCTGAATTGCAATCAGAAGACGGCACAGATCAGATCTTTTCGGCTTATTACAGCTCCCAGGCTTCTGCCAGCCCTCATCATTTCTCCTTTTTATTTCCTTCACTTTCAAGGCTTCGGCAGAATAAATTCAGTATGATAAAATATCAGGACAAAATAAATGTTCATACGCCACAAACATCAGCAGAACACTCCCATGAGCAGTTATGCTCAAAAACATTACTTGCGGGTACAAATAATTTTAGAAAGTTTGTGAAACCTTCAACTGAGCATTTTAATTTGAATAAAGTGTACAGCACCTAACTTACCAACTGTTTTTAACCTGCACACCCCACATTCTCAATCTCTTTTGGGAAATGAATGTGCTCTTCACCGAGAATAAGCTCATTTTGAATTTAGGACTGGAAAAAAAGAGCCGGAATTCCCTGAGCTGTTTTTTAATTGTCATAATAGTTCCTAGAGCCAGAGTGTTTGGTAATATCACAAAGAATATTAAACAAGACTTCCCTTTTGCTCCCAGAATGCAAAGCGCGATGAGAATGCCATGTCTGCGGCACTGTGGTCATGAGCCGCACAGGATGGGGCGGGATGGACAGGGCAGGACAGGGGGCGGGGGAGATGAGTACTGGAGGATGAGGGTTTTTTTGTGGGGACAGTCGGCAGCGCTGAGGGTCAGAGGTCTTCACACTAGCGACCAGTACCAGCCGGGCTCTCGGACCATGCAGCACTCTGGAGACAGGATGGAATGGACAGCTCTAAGTACAGAGAAAAGTGGAAAGCAGGAGAGTCACAGAGCGTCAGAACAGGGCACACCTGATGGTGCACAGACCCACACAGCTGTCAAAACAGAAAACAGAAATAGCAGACGCCAGGTTAAACAAGGACGACACCCCTTGATCTGATAGCGTCCAGGATGGCCTTCTGCACACCGACTGATTTGTTTTGAAAGGCACAGAAGTTGAATTTTCTGCCAAACTGCACTTATTCCTTCACTGCAACACGTAGGTCAAATGAGAACAAATTCTCAATTACAGTGATGACCTGAAAACCCAGGCCATTTACACAGAGGGCATTTTATTAGAGCAGTCTGCGCAACGTGCCACCTGGGATTTGAACCCATTACCCTTCGGTCTGGAGTCCAGAGCCCTGACCACTCCTCCACACTGCTGCCAACTTACAAAAATCTGGTCTGAAACCTTTCTGGCGTGAGGACCTATACAATATCAGAAACTAGAAAATGTGCACAGCACATCCAAGGTTAATCTATAGGAGTAAGCAATGCGATATTCAAAGGGTGCAAATTTAAAATAATTTGGTAAAATCCCTTTTAAACCAATGAGATTTCTCAACGTGCAGCTATACCACTAGCAGTGTCTGTCAGAATCTGTAGAGTAAGTGTGTTCTGAAGCTGCCACACAGTTTTTGCTGCTTTCCATTTTTGCCCAGCTGAGAATGCAGTTGACAGAGAGTCAGAAAACTGCAGAATACAACACAGCAGCCACCACCGCAGAAGCCAAAACTGCAGAATACAACACAGCAGCCACCACCGCAGCGAATAAGACAGCAGTGAAGAAGCAGCTTTATTCAGGGGCAAAGACTTGTGAGGTCCCAGAGCTGCAGCTCCACACACATCACAAGCACTGACACACAGGAAAGCATTCACGGTGTGCGAACACAGTCATTTAGTAGTACCACAGCATACATTCAAAAACAGACAAAACCCTGGATTCAACACATCAGGTTCTCATCTCATCTCTCTCTCTCTCTCCGTGATGTGGAGGACTGGAGGGCGCTGTGACCAAGATTCCCTCAGCAAAGCTTCACAGCTAGGCTCAGCACTGCCAGGTTAGGGCTGGGACTGATCAGCCAGGTCCTCGTGCATTTAGGTGCGAGAGCGACCTGGGCCTGTAGCAACATCAGAGAGAGGAGTCGCTCCTCCTGGCAGGTGCTGTGGAGCTGTCAAATGAGGAATCGCCCTCCAGATGGGCACATCTCCATGCCTCATTCTTTCCCAAGCCCTACAAGACTCTCTACCAGAGAGTCGAGTCTGAAAAAGCACTTGGCAAGTCCAGCTTGAGTGGACGTATAATAAACGATCCCATTATAATGACAATCAACGTTCCAAACTGTTAAACAAAAAGAAGACCATGCACACACTCTTACACACACACACAGACACACACTACACACAGCAGTGATGGATTAGACAGTTAAGATTGCAGTGAAATGGGCTGGAAAGGTGCACAGCACCTGTAAAAATAACAGGCACTCCTGACAGAAGTGGGAGGAGCAGGTCTGGCTCCTCCCACTTCCTCTCTCTACTTCCTGTTGATGACCTCTTCTGAATAGCATAGGCACAGGCTACCAAACAACACAACACCATTATTACACAAACGGCAGAAAAGAGAAAATTAAAATCAAGGGTGAAGGCCTGCTAAACCACTTTATCACTTACTTAATAACACTGTAATCAGATCCCAGATTTCCAGAATTGTAGGCGAAAGGAACAATAAAATACACACAAAGGCTTAAAGCACAGAAGCACGGCTTCTGCGCAATAGCCAACTGTCTCTAACAGTAATACCGTTCAGGAAGAAATCCTATACAGTCACTCAAAAGGGAAGCAAAACAGGAAGAGATTCCACTTGACTCAGGCTACTGCAAACAAAAAGTGTGAAATAAAACTGTTTGGGATTCTCACACCAAAGAGTGATGCTCTATGGCAAAACTGCCACCATGCAGGAGGAAGCTGAAGGAGAAAATAAAAACGTTCAATTGAAAATTGATAATCCACAGGCGGCCTCTTTCAACCCCAGTGGCCAACTTCATTAAAAGGCGCAAATACAGAAGCACAAAAGCGAGGCATCTCACGTTCAGCACTACCAAAGAGGATAGGAAATGTGTGCGACACACCCAAGCCTGTTTTCGTTTTGCTACTGCTCATCTGGCTGCAAGCCAGCAGGCACCTATAGTCTTGAGCCACAACCCTCGCTTCCACCCAGAATGTATTGCAAACTGGAGTAAAACCAAGCATAGTTTTGTCAAATGTACCAAAAAAAACTCTGGAAGAAATGCAACACATTAACCATTCCGCCTCAGGACTGTCTGACGGGCCACAGGCAGGCAAACTCCCTTATTTCAGATGCTGAGGCTGACACTTCACACCTCGGCCCAACCTAGTCGGATCAGCGCATTGCAGCGCCAGATATACTGCGTCTCGGGAGACCCGGAGACGGAGCCCATTCCACATCCTCAGCGTGCCAGGGTAAAACAAGCCTCAGAACTCAGAACTTTAAAAACTAAACTGCATTTTCAGGTTAGGATATAAGAAGACTTGTGGATCTTTCTCTCCAAATACAGGTTTTAATTTCATTTATTATAAACTACTCATTCTCCATTTCACCATCCACTGTTAAAAGAAAAGCTCGTCTGACCAAGTGGCTCCAGACGGTAACAGTTTCAAAGAGCTTGAGCCATTCAAGTTGTCGTGGGCAGAGGAAAAGCAGTACAATACCTTTAGCTCTTTCCTGAGCTGTAATTAACATCTGCTTTTCAACTACTAAATAAGGGCTCTGATGTCCCTTTATCAGCGTCGCACCTCTTCATAATCTGAGGGTGTCCTGTTTGGCGCAAGATGAGGAAACCGCTTGGTTCAAGGGGGCACAGCCCGGTTTCAGAACCGTGAATTCTGTTTTCAGAGTCTGTGTAGGGAAAAAAAAAAATCTCACTCCCCAGAACGTCGGAGTAAGTCTCAAAGAACTGCAAAAAACACGGTGTTGCTTCATAACTTAAAAGAACACAGACTGAAAACACTTCTTAAAATAAGCAGATGGCAGACCAGAAAAAAAGACGTGTACACAGACAGGGAAATCACAGAGGCAGCGGCATGCTATGTAGCACTGGACAAAATGGCTAGCACCGCTGAACCCGTTAGGAGACGAGCCTGTCGCAACTTTTTCCCCCCCTTCAACAGCAGCTACACTAAAAATAGTGGCAGCAGCAGCCCTGTGCAAAGGCAGCCAGGGCCTGATCGAGACAGCACACTTAGCCTACAGATCTCAAAACCAGACTCGCTGCCGGCCCGCACCTACGACCCGGCTCCTCCAGCCCTCGGACCCCGGAGAAGGCAGACCGGTGAGCCACCCCCCCACGGCTCTCTTACCACAAGAAGAGGCAGACGCGGTGCAGCGGATTCCCCCCCGAGAAGAGCACAGAAAGTGGCAAAGGAGAAGTGCCCCAGCGAGCCGACGGTGATGCAGGCTTCCGTCTGAAGAGCAGCGCAGTAATGTGATAGGTCAGGAGAGTGTTGATATTCCTGACGCTGCACCGGGACATGGGGGGGTGGGGGGGGACAGCTGGTCTGATACCGGGATGGCTAAAAATAGCCCCCCCCTGGCCTCTCCACCTCCTCCACCCCAAGAATGCGGAGAGGCGGGCTCCCCTCTTGGACACCAGTTGCTGTTTCCCTTCAGCTGCTGCTGGCTCTCAGCGCGGCGCACGCTGTCTGGGGGGCAGGGCGCGCGTGTGTGCGGTGTGTGCGCGCGGCTCCGGCTGCCCCCTGCCCCTGCGGGAGGAGGGGGCTCTCCCGCAGTCGGATCCGAGGCCGGTTGTAGCAGACCAAGACACGAACAAGACAAAATATATATATAAATGCATCTCAAAACAAAGGCAAAGGGAGAGACGCCAGTGCTGAGAGGAATACCCAAGAGGTGAAGAGCAACAGCAGGGCGAGGAAATGACGGCCGTTTCATCACAAGTTAACGGTCTTCCTGTCCCCCGAGGAGGAAGGACATTACACAGAGCTGCGGACTTGTGTCTGACCCCCCACTTTCCTTTTCACCCTTTTCGTCAAGGGACTGAGCGCAACTAACAAAGCCAATTACGCACCGCTGGAAAACGTGACCTGGCAACAGCCGGAGTTTACTTGGAAGAACACCTTTGGGGTCAATTTGTTTGGGCCGAGCAAGCAGAAAAACAACTTGAGAATTCCATCAACGCCAAGCGTCTGGCTAAGAAAAAATGCTAATAAATAGAAATCTGCATGAGGATGATCAGTGCCGTCATTCTTTATGTGAACGTGCTCTTTCATTTGTCTTTTTCTAGTTAGTCTGACAATATCATCAAACGTGACTGGAATTTGGACCAGTTTCCACAGCTGGGTATTTTATTGGAGCAGTCTGATTGAAGTACCCAAGGGGTACACCAGCAGTGTCCCACCTGGGAACTGAGCCCACGACCTTCTCATTCTGAGCCCAGTGCTCTAGCTAAACCTCCACACTGATGGCCCACATTTATCAGTCCTATCGTTTCATAATTAACTCAAGTGTGGAAACAAAAGTGCTAACAACCACTGGATGTGGACTCCGGGAAGTCTCTCGACACCACACAGGAATTGAGAACACCTAAATTAAGCAACGTCCCCGATCAGGAGAGAAATTACAATCAAGATTAATTCTGCCCTAAAAACACAGATGAAAAAGTGTGTGTCCTGACACTTTCCTATACACGGAAATCTCTTGTGGGGAAAGAAGAATGAGCAGCAAAAAGACATTTCCAAATGTCTAATACGACGTCAAAGTGAGGGGTGCAGTTTAATTCAATGAGAGAAGGCAAAATGTTTCTGCTAAATTCTTGTAAATGCAGATTGTTTAGAATTCAGGCACAGGCCACAGCATTTTTGATTGCATTTGGTCTGTTATTGTTCTTCATGCCTGACTGTTCATAACATTCTTTTACTGCTGTGCAATTTATAACAAGCTTTTAAGCAGGAAGGAAAAAAACCCAACAAAATACGGTATGCCAGTGCCGATAAAACACAACTACATTTTCTTTAAAAGGTCAGGAAGGTAGAAAAACACTAGCTTTTCATCACATGAAGTTTTTAAGACAGAAGGGTGTGAAAAACATGTCGGCAGAAACGTTGATAAACCTGCTCTTTTGCGACTCCGATAAGCAGCACGCATTCACTTTAAAAATGAACAAGATTTGTTATCGTGAGATAAGTGGGGCAAAGAAGATTAGTTTCCCCCTAGGAAGTCCACAAATGTGCGACAGAAAGGCACCATTTTTCCAGGTGGACAGACTGGGATAAGACTGGACAGACTGAGCAGGAAAAGTCTATGGTCAGGAGGGAACTTACGTCCATCATATATGCACTTCAGACAATAGTTTGAAGCTTTAAGAAGAGATCAGCTCCCACCAGTAACAACTGTTGTAATACTACTGATACTCTACTGTTGTAATACTGCTGTGGGAGCCTGGAACAAGGTTTCTTTCACGAAACAGCTGAGGCAGAATAAGCTCCTTTTGTTTGTGACCTTTTCTCAGGTTCCTGCATACAACTACTTGAATAATAATACTCAAATCAAAAGTACTAAAATGATCATGATGTAATAAGAATAAAAGGTAGTTAACTTCCCTTTTAATTTCTTTAGCTTGTGATTTGTTCAGGAGCTGTGTATAAAATATTACCGACAGATGGCCACATCTATGGAAATCCACACTGCTTTTGACTGCAGAATCACACTTCACCACTAGAGAGACCCCATTTCCAGCAGAATACCTGATTTAGTGCACTTCCCCAAATACACCACAAAGGGGCACCATTGGCTTTCCAATACATTTGCGTTTGTTAGTTTTGCCCAGGCTGGCCCACAAAATTGCAAGAGCTCTCTGTTCAATTCCATCTGTGATTCACATTTAAAAAGCTCTAATTGGATTCCAGCCAATTCTTATTAAAAACAGAATTCATCTGAACAAAACTATAAATCAAACCAGGATGCTGTAACTCAGGTGTAAAAAACAATAAATCTGATAAAGCAACAGTGAGACCAAGTACAAGGTCCTGATGCCATGTGCACTGAAAAGTGGTGCCAGGCCTGAGGAAAATCAATCACTACTACCTGCCTGAGGTGGGCTCATTTGTGCATCCGGTTCACAATGCATCCTGCATCACTATCAAAGTACTCCATCCTTTTGGGCTGCAGTGGCCTGTACAGGGTAAGTATAGAATAAGCAATTGGAAAAAGCAATATATTAACAATATAAAAAATGGTCCTTTTCCAGATATGGCCTCTTAACAACCTCTATTAACTGGTTTTATCACTCTGTTCTCCTTCGCACTGATAGCTGATGTGAGCGTACTGGTGCGCTTTGGCTGGTGTTGCATCATCCAGGTGGGGCTACACATTGGTGTTGGTGGTGAAGAGTCCCCATTACCTGTAAAGCGCTTCGAGTGGAGTGTCCAGAAAAGCGCTCTTTAAGGAATTATTATTGTAGAGTCCAGCAGAAGTGACTGGGAGCTATCTCTTAGTCCATGCAACCGATCAAATCCATCTGCTGAAGTCACGAACAAATTCGAGACACCTGACCATTAACCGAAATCCAAAATTGAGCAGAAGGATGTACTGTCAGAGATCACAGTGAGCATCAAACACACAGCCCAGACTAACAAAAACAAACAAGGCATTAAGAGTTCATCCCCTTATTTGCCGAGAATGCTTGATTCTGTATCTGGGCCTCTATAAGCAAGTTGCCTTCAGCTATTTTGTGATTAGTAATCAGGCACCCATGCAGAGGCCAAGTGTGGTGAAAAATACAGGGGTGTTACTGACTCCTAACAAACAAGATCTATGGGACGTGGTGCATGCTGTGAGCTCCCACTAATGTGACTTGTGACAAATTAGAGACCACACCTCTTTATTTAGTAACCCAAGCTGGCTGTTAAATTGCAGGCAATCCCTCATGTTCGAACAGTCAAACAGGGCTGGCACAGGCTCACCTGTTCTAAACAGAGCTCTGACCAAACAAAGCACAGCTCTACATGCCCAGCATGGATGGTATCCTGGGTGGGGCAGGGAGGCTGCCTGAGCCTCACGAAAATTCCTGAGGATGTCCTTCCAGACAAGACTTTCCATTCCCGACAAAAAAACAATCACTAGAGTGCGATTTAATAGAGCCAGACGCTCCTTAAAATTCAGACGCAAGACCGTAGCCCTAGGAGACCCGAGATCTGAAAAGCTTAACACAATGTCGTAGTCCTGTATTTACCAGGCATACTGCTAGGAATATAAAAATGACTTCAATAGGAGAAGCAACAGCAGGGATGGCGTCTGTCATCCATTATAAAACAACAAAGAACCGCTCGCTGGTCATGATACAGTTCTCCACAAAGCAAGCAGAACAGTCGTGCGGCGTGCTTCTAGTTTCAAAGAGGCAGACTGCTTTAATTCAGTAAGCAGATTATCACTGCAACGTGCGGATTCCGGCCACTCCGAAACATATAGCACTGGTGGACGCATGGCAGCCTTCACAGGTTCATGGGAACGCCAGGGCACTGGCATGAGCAATGGAGATGAGCTGGTAGCGGTTGGCACAGCAGGAGGGGAAGCTGGTCAATACACTGGGTATTGTTTACCATGCTTTCCACACCTGCTGTTTCCAGGCTAAAGCATTGCCACCCAACCTGCACTGACCTCCAGCTGACCAAAGCCTTATGCCGTGGACAAGAAGATATCCGTGCAACAATTCAAAAGTGTACCTGAGTCGCAAAGATCAAAGTCAGTGGTCTCCGATGCAGTACAAATGCACTCTAGGAAAAAAAAGCAATACACAATTTCACTATATGACAGCCAAAATAACCCTGTGACCCTTCAGGCACCACATTCACAGACAGCATCACATTACCTTGAAGAGGAGGGGGGCCGGTGTTGGTCATCAAGAGGATGTGTTTAGATGTATGGGGTGTTGAAGGGTGGGGCCCAACGTAGGTGTGCATCGAAGATGCCCGAGCAAAATTAAAAGCTTATAATAAATCTAAAGTAATAAAGATTCCTCCCTGGAATCTAGCAGTGCTGGCGGTCCAGAGGAAGAGGCCCAGGGGATTGGTCGCACACCGCCCTCTGACCCTGCCTTCCCCTGGAAGCAGGGGAAGTGGACATGTGCAAAGATGTTTGGTCTGGTCGCTTTCATCACAGTGATGTGAAGAGCCGTTTCTCCCTCTGCCTGGGAATCCTGAACTTCTCTGTGTAGAGCAGTGGCCTAAGAACACCACCCCCACACACACACACACATCCATCTCCCCATCCCACAGCCCCACGGCCTCAGCAGGAGCTATTATTAGCATCAGGAGGATTTACAGCGCACTGCTCTGATCTTGAGCCCGGCTAATGCTTCGAGATAAGATCGCTTCTCTGGGACAGGAAATGCAGTAATTGGAGTTGTCTGCGTCGTGGTGCTTAAGTTCATTTTCTA